ATTGTGCGTTTCGGAAGTCGGCTGTCGGAGCCGCGCCGCGCTCCGATTTCCGAATTCTCCGATTCGAGCTCTCTTGCTTCGAGCTTTACCTACACGAGCGTGCGTGCGTCAGTTACGTGTCTCTTGTTTACGTGTGAGGCGTCATTAGAGATGGCCACGAAATCTTGAGACGCCACGCTGGACCATTTGACCGTCCCCCCCGCTACTTGTCAGATGTCTGTTACATTTTGTTTCAATTTACAATCGAGTTGCAAAATTGTGCGTTTCGGATCAAACTGAGATTCGCATTTCAGATGTGCTTGTCTCTCATAAAGTTTCAAACGCACAAGAGTGATGACATTTGTGATGATTTAAACGATAATTTTGACGATAAATTATTTCTGATTATTTTTTTATCACAGTCCTCCCCCTCCCCAGCATATTTTTTAGATATAAACAATCTCTAATATACATTGATGTTATACATATATATCGACTGATAATGATGTTCTATTCTTTTCAGAGTCGCGCCTTTACGAGAGAGCTTTAATCACTGTATAAAACTTTTGCGCTATGACAAAAACAGCATTCGACGATTATTTGCTAGTGAATGCTTCATCGATCAAGATTTGAAGATATGCTTTTTGTTGTTGCAAAGAGGCTTGATGAGTGCACAAAAGCATAAGGAATGGTATTCTATTCGATTCAGCTGGATGTCAGATAAGCTGAAAAATGTCTGGTGATGCAGGATGGAACGCTGTTATTCACCATCCTTCCGACCTAGAATTACAGAATTGGAATTGGGAAGAAAACGATGGGGAGCAAGAGAAAGAGCTTCCTTCAACCGTGGATATGGATGCCATAAAAGGCGGCGGTAGTTGGGATCCTGCTACTGAACCTAATGGTATCTGCGAAAATTGTCACCCATAGATTTCTTCCCAATAATTTAAACGTCTTTCGGAATAAATAATTGTTTTTAATTATAGGAACAGATTCGATCGATTCCGAAGAAGACTCCGATTCCGACGACGAAAGCTCTGGTGGAAGCGAAGGTAGTTGCTCTTATTCGGATTCTAATTCAGAATCAGACGACGAAAGTAGCGGCGACGAAGAAGAGGAAAGTGGATCTAATTCAGACTGTTCGTCTGAACATAGTGAACAAACGTTTTCCATTCAAGAAACCAATTTTGAGCCGGTATGACGTGAAAGACAATGTTACATTTTAAATTTGTTATTTCTTTTTGCGTTCTGTTACTGCGACTTTTGTAAAAAGGTAACTTGCCGTGCGTTGCAGGGAGCATTGAAATTGAAAATCACCATGAAAGGTCCAAAGAAGGAAGACTCTGAAAAAATTAAATGTGACAAAAGTAAAAAGACTGTTTCCAAAAAACTCAAGACCAATCATGGAAATAAGGTAATTTTGATAAATAGTTGAAAAATATATAATATGTAATTGCTAAGAATTGGAAATTTGAAGATGAGAATGAAATATGTAGTGAAATTAGTATGTGAAAATTGATTTTTACTTTTATTTTAATACAACTCCATTCTATATATATATATATATATATACATACATATTTATTATACAGGGTGATCCAGATCAATCGCACGGGACGGCACATTACATATTCCTTATGAAAAAGTGAGTTGAAAATGTCAATAGCAAAATGTTGTGGTGTCAATAGTTTTTAAATGGTGAGCCTTAGAAGATGTCCAATCACAGGACATGAAATTCGCACTGTTAGGAGCGACGCAAATAAGCAGCCGGCCATGCGAACGCTTTGATGGATACCGCTAAACGGCATGATACCGAATGAGTTTGCAAAGTTTCGTGAAATCTCTGTATTAACATTTACTGCAGTATTCTTAAATTGAGTCCGATTCAATTGATGGGAAGTAATGTCAATTGCAAATTCGACACAACCACTTATATTAGCAAAAAAGATTTTCGAAATATGTTTTAGATAATAGACAAATTTGTAAATAAAATTAATATTAATTAAATTATTCAAACAAATAATATTAAAAATATCAATCAACAGATGTTTCCAAAACTTCTTTTCTGTCACAAACAACATTAGAAAAGATGTACACTTGAAATACGTATTTGATATAAATAAATATTTTATATCTAAGAAATGAAATAAACGAAATTTCGAATTACGATAAGGAAGAAAAAGGAAGTGAAAAAATCGAACAATTCGTTTACTGATATAAATGACGTTATAATAGTACCGTATCGAATTTGCAATTGACATTACTCCCCATCAATTGAATCGGACTCGATTTAAGAATACTACAATAAATGTTAATACAGAGATTTCACGAAATTTTGCAATACTCATTCGGTATCGTGCCGTATTTAGCGGTATCCATTAAAGCGTTCGCGCGACCGGCTGTTTGGTTGCGCCGCTCCTAACGACGCGAATTTCATGTCCTATGGTTGGACATCTTCTAAGACTCACCGTTTAAAAACTATTGATACCACAATATTTTACTATTGACATTTTCGACTCACTTTTTCATTAGGAATATGTATGTGCCGTCCCGTGCGGTTGATCTGGATCACCTTGTGTATATATATATATATATATATATATATATTACACATATATAGAAACATGTATTATTATTTCTTGCACAATAAATGATCATATCAAATGATGTAGTCCTCAGAATGTAGTAGCGAAGATTCAGACTCGTCTGTTGTGGGCCATGCGGCATCGCAAAAAGTACAACAACAATCCCAGCAACATCACCATCATGCGCCGCTGCAAGAAATCAATCAGGAAGATTTAGCAACTGTCTTACCCTCGCAAGTACAAGAGGACGCACCATTTGACGGATTTGAGGATTCGGAGAGCGGTCGACTGGTGTCAAAAGCGATCGAGCGTATGTCACTCGGCGCAGATTCGGACACGAGCGAAAACGGCGATCAGAATCCCGTACCTGTGTACAGTTCCACCTTGTTGCAGCAGTTTGTCGAAAAGACTGCCATGTTGTCGGAACCACGAAAAAGGCGCAGCAAATGCGCCAAAAAGTTGAACAACGACAACGAGTATCCATGCGTATCAAATGTGTCGCCCGATTCTGGCATTCAATCCGTCGACAATAGTCCGCTACACTTGGCGATCAGTCCTGCCAGTCCTCCAGCGCCGACCCAATCTCTGATCCAACCGCCGATTTCCACTAAACCAGCGGTAAATGTCGATCGGGTTCTGTACCCTCCGAAAAGAAAACCCGGCAGACCAGCGAAAACAGTGTCTACTCAGCCACGCGGACCAGGCAGGCCGCGTTTAAAGCCGGAAATTGTCGAGAAAATCCAAAAGATCGAGAAGGCAGAAAAGGAAAGAAATGAATCTTTAAAAAGTCTAAAGAATCCTGATTCTCGGTTAACGGAGAAAAAGGCAACTGTAAAGGAATCGTCTATGAAGAGCGCTAAGGAAGACACAGCGTTAGTTAGGAAACGTGGTAATGCAAAGTCCGTTGCATCGAGGGAAATAAAAGAGGATGCATCTCCTTCGAGTAAAAGAATAAAAGGTAAAACGACAGCGTATCAAAAGAAACGTTACGGTAACTCGGTGAAATCTTCGCAGGAGAAGACTGTTGTCAAAAAGACTACAGGAACAAGTTCCCCGATGCGAGTAAAGTGCCTAAGTAGATCAACCGCGAACAAACTCGCGTCACAGTGTGACAGTAGA